GGATCAGTGTTGGGATCAGTGTTGGGATCAGTGTTGGGATCAGTGTTGGGATCAGTGTTGGGATCAGTGTTGGATCAGTGTTGGGATCAGTGTTGGGATCAGCGTTGGGATCAGCGTTGGGGATCTCCCTGCTGCCCTTCCCAGCTCACCCCACTGCTCTCCCGGCTCTCCCCAGTTGATTTCATCGGCGGCTTTGACTCCTACGGGTACCAGGCCCCACAGAAGACGTCGCACCTGCAGCTGCAGCCGCTCTACACGTGAGTGTCGGGGCTGCTGGGGGCTGCAGGACCCTCTGGGTGCTCCCAGCTCCGATCTGGGGCTGTGCAGCCTCACCACAAACCCCGAGGAGCTCCGGGGAGGATCCTGCTGCTGTTCTGCTGGGTTGTGTTGGCTGTTTCCCCTGGCCAGTGCCCGGGGGAGCAGCAGCTCTCCAGATAAGCGCAGCCGCCTCCTCCTCCCTCTCCCTCCCCCATTAAGCCCGACTCGATAAACACTCCAGCGAGATAAGGCCCGCAAATCTAAAGGGATTAACCTCGCTGCCAAAAATTAATTATATTTTCAGCCTTGTATGCAAATTCAAGGGCAGGCGATGCCATTAGGGCTGGGAGGGGACGAATCCATCTGTGACAGTGCTGGGCCCTCCCTGGGGACACTGATGGGGGTGCAGGGGAGCACCCGTGGGTGCTGTGCCCCCCTGGGAGCCCCGGCTGTGGGTGGGACCCAGATGGGGACACGGATGATGGCATTGGCACTTCCCGGTGCCAGCACCCACGTCCTGGGGGTTACTGAGCTGTTCTCCCCCCACCAGGGGTGTCCCATGGATGGGACAGGTCCCCTGTGTCCCTTCAGCCCTGCCTGGGTGGCACCGGGCAAAGCCACCGTGGGCAGAGGGACAGGGGACCCCATCCTGACCCCCGTGTCCTCCCCCAGGGGCCCAGGGGGTGCCAGGGGGCCACTGTGGGATCAGCCCAGCCGTGTCCCCATGTCCAGCCATGTCCCCAGTCCCAGCCGTGTCCCCAGTCCCAGCCGTGTCCCCAGTCCCAGCCGTGTCCCCAGTCCCAGCCGTGTCCCCAGTCCCAGCCGTGTCCCCAGTCCCAGCCGTGTCCCCAGTCCCAGCCGTGTCCCCAGTCCCAGCCGTGTCCCCAGTCCCAGCCGTGTCCCCAGTCCCAGCCGTGTCCCCAGTCCCAGCCGTGTCCCCAGTCCCAGCCGTGTCCCCAGTCCCAGCCGTGTCCCCAGTCCCAGCCGTGTCCCCATGGGAGGGGACAGCAGCCCCGCTCCCCAGCCCGGCCCCAGCCACTCTGTGACATTTTTGGGGGTGGCAGGAGAGCAGTGACCCCACGGGAGGTCCCTGTCCCCCCTGGCCGTGTGGGACTTTCCCGTTTCCCTGTTTTCCAGCTCCGGATAACCGGGATCCAGCGGCGCCAGGACCCCCGGAGCCCCCGCGGGCGCTGCCACCACCCCGGTGTGCGGGGCCAGCACGGCGAGCCCGGTCCCCTCCTGCCTCCTGCCCCTGGAACATTCCCGAAACAGCGCCGGGAGCTGCTCCTCCATCCCCCCGGAGGCTGCGGGAACCCCCGGCTCGGGGACACGCGGGGACACCGGGGAGGTGCCAGCGCTCACAGGACACCGCTGGCTTCTTTCTCCCGGCCTGGCTTTTCCTTGGAGCAGCGGGGAGCCCGGGACAGGGGACAGGGGACAGGGGACAGGGGACAGGGGACAGGGGACAGGGGACAGGGGACAGGGGACAGGGGACAGGGGACAGGGGACAGGGGACAGGGGACAGGGGACAGGGGACAGGGGACAGGGGACAGGGGACAGGGGACAGGGGACAGGGGACAGGGGACAGGGGACAGGGGACAGGGGACAGGGGACAGGGGACAGGGGACAGGGGACAGGGGACAGGGGACAGGGGACAGGGGACAGGGGACAGGCACAGGCAGGCACCGGGAGCAGCCCCCGCCTCCGTGGGGCTGGGACATTTTCCTGGAACTCTGCACCTGGGGCTGCCTCCAGGAGCCGGGATTTTGCTCCCAGCAGGAATTTCCCAGCCCCTCCACACCTGAATGAAGCAGCATTGAGGGAGCTCGCTCGGGGATGCTCCGAGGAGTTGGATCCACCCATCAGCATCGCCTCGATCCCCAAATTTGGGGCCATGGGGGGACACACAGGACCCCGAAATCCCCCTGCACCATCCCCCCTCCCCGTTTTGGGGGCCTTTCTCCGACGCTGCCGAGGCACAGCCCCTTCCCGGCTGTTGGAACGGACCTGATGAATGTTTTGGGTTGCTTTGGGATTTATTTTCAATCATTTATTTGGGTTTTTATTTAATTTGAAGTGCCTGAGTAGACTCTGGCTGAGCCGGGCCCCCCTCCCAAGGCTGACACCGTGCCTTCAGCACCTCTGGGACCCCCCAGGACCCCCCAAAACCTCGCCCAGGGCTGGGGGTTCCTCCCCCCGTCCCTTCATCCGTGGGGGGCTCGGTGCCAAATCCATCCGTCAGCTCCAGCGGCACAGGGACATCGGCACGAGGGGAAGGATTTTGGGAGGCGGCTCGGGCAGGGCTTGCCTTGCAGAAGGAAGATCAGCTGGCAAGGAAAAGCCTTGGAAGGAACTGGAAGGGGAAAAAAAAGGAGTTTCCTGAAGTGTCCAACCTCCCCGCAACCTCCTCGCTCCCCTTTCCGTGGGATGCGGCTCCTCCAGGATCCCTGGATCCGAAGCCCGGCCCGCTCCCCTGGGAGCTGAGCATTTCGGGTGGATTTCACCTCCCAGGCGTTCCTCCTCCAGCGCCAGGGGAGTTTTTTACACCCTGGAATGGATTTTTGGCCCTTCCCACCAGGGAGCCGTGGAAGCGCCACCTCCTGGAGCTGGGATGGGCTGAGCCTCCCGCCGCCTCCAGCCTAGCTGCCAAACTCTACAGGCAATAATTTCTCCACCCTTTGCCCCTCTTTTTTCCAAGGAAAATCATGTTTATTTTCAGGCGGCCATCCCCCTCATCCTCCAGAACATTTCCCCATCCCCAAGCCCCAGGCCCAGCAGCATCTTTGGGGTTTATTTTCCTCTCCACTGACCTGGACAGGCAGACTCTGCCCTGCTCCCAGCCCTTCCCAAACGCAGCCGGGAGCAGCAGGAAGAGCTCGCTGGAATCACAGCTCCTGGGAAGAGCCTCCCTCCCGCGGGCTCCGCATGAGCCGGGCACGGCGCTCCGGGACCTTGGGTGTTTCTGTTCCGTTGGCTTGGTTTTCTATGAGCCCGTCTTTGTAACGTGAACCGAGGATTTCTTTTCTATTCTGTAATTATAAAAGTCAAAGGAAAGTTTCAGCGGGTGCTGTTCTGCTTCGGGGCACCTCCCCTTCCCTGGGCCTTGGGGTGATTAAAGGTGGGGGTGGCTTTTTGTCATTATTTTTTTTTCTTTTTCCCTTCCTTAGCGCTGCCACCTCCCTCGTCAGGGCTCTGAAACCCCCGATCTCCCCAGCTCATATCATGGAATGGTTTGGTGGGAAGGGATCCTAAAGCTCACAGCCCCTGTCCCTGTCCCCTCCCACAGCTCCTCGTCCCTGTCCCCTCTCACAGCCCCAGTCCCTTGTCCCCTGTCCACTCCCCTGTCCCTGTCCCTGCCCCTTTCCCTGTCCCTGTCCCTGTCCTTGTCCCTGTCCCTGTCCCTGTCCCTGTCCCTGTCCCTGTCCCTGTCCTGTCCCTGTCCCTGTCCCATCCCTGTCCTGCCCTGTCCCTGTCCCTGTCCCATCCCTGTCCTTGTCCCTTGTCCCTTGTCCCTTGTCCCTTGTCCCTTGTCCCTTGTCCCCTGTCCCTGTCCCCATCCCTGTCCCTGTCCCCTCTCACAGCTCCTGTCCCTGTCCCATCCCTGTCCCTGTCCCTGTCCCTGTCCCATCCCTGTCCCTGTCCCTGTCCCATCCCTGTTCCTGTCCCTGTCCCCTCCCTGTCATTACGGTGTCCCAGCAGCTCCGGGGCTGAGCCGAGGAGCCCCAGCCCGGCTGTAAACAGGAAGGGCAGCAAGAAAAACGAGCTGATTTTCCTCATCCCCAAGAAACGGCCGAGGAGCAACAAAGGATGAATTTTCCGTCCCGCAGGCGCCGGACCCCGGCGAGTCACAGATGTTGAGGAGTAAAAAAGCCGCTTTCAGAGCCTCCAACAAAGGCATAGAGACGCTTTTGAGGGGCTCCGAGATGTGCGGAGGCAGCTGGGCGCTCCCAGGTGTGCCGGGATGCGAGGGGAGCACGGGGGGATGCGGGGGAAGGAGCCGGGAGGAGTTTCCCTTCGCCCAGGGACGCGCTCGGGGTTTGGTGCTCCCCGAGCTGGGTCCTGAGCAAAGTTGGGATGGTTCTCCAGAGCTCCAGGGGGGATGTGACAACCCCAGGGACACCCCCCTAAAACCACATCACCCGTGACATGAGCCCAAATTCTGGCCCTTCAGCCCTAGAGAGATCCTGTCTGTGCTCCAGCCACCCCTGGTCTCTGCTGGAAGGTGACACAGGAGCTCACCCATGGATGTGACAATGCCAAGGACCCTGCTAAAACCACATTACCCATAACATGAACCCAAACTCCAGCCCTAGAGACATCCTGTCCGTGCTCCAACCACCTCTGGTCCCCTCTGGAAGGTGATACAGGAGCTCACCCATGGATGCGACATCCCCAAGGACCCTGCTAAAAACACATCACCAGTGACATGAGCCCAAAATCCGGCCCTCCAGCCCATGAGAAATCCTGTCCGTGCTCCAACCACCCCTGGTCCCCGCTGGAAGGTGACACATGGATTGACAACCCCAAGGACACCCCGCTAAAACCACATCACCCGTGACATGAGCCCAAACTCCACCCCAAGAGAAATCCTGTCCATGCTCCAACCACCCCTGGTCCCCGCTGGAAGGTGACACGAGTGCTCACCCATGGATGTGACAACCCCAAGGACACCCCACTAAAACCACATCACCCAAAATCCAGCCCTAGAGAAATGCTCTCTGTGCTCCAACCACCCCTGGTCCCCGCTGGAAGGTGACACACATGGATTGGGTGCTCACCCATGGATGTGACAATGCTAAGGACGCCCTAGTGGGGCGTGTGGTTTTAGTGAAACCACATCACCAGTGACATGAACCCAAAATCCAGCCCTCCAGCCCTAGAGAGATCCTGTCAGTGCTCCAACCACCCCTGGTCCCCTCTGGAAGGTGACACAGGAGCTCACCCATGGATGTGACATCCCCAAGGACCCTGCTAAAAACACATCACTCTCAGCATGAACGCAAACTCCAGCCCTTCAGCCCTAGGGAAATCCTGTCCATGCTCCAACCACCCCTGGTTCCTGCTGGAAGGTGACACAGGAGCTCCCCCATGGATGTGACATCCCCAAGGACCCTGCTAAAAACACATCACTCTCAGCATGAACGCAAACTCCAGCCCTCCAGCCCTAGGGAAATCCTGTCCATGCTCCAACCACCCCTGGTTCCTGCTGGAAGGTGACACAGGAGCTCCCCCATGGATGTGACAACCCCAAGGACCCCCCTAAAACCACATTACCCCAAAATCCAGCCCTCCAGCCCTAGGGAAATCCTGTCCATGCTCCAGCCACCCCTGGTCCCCTCTGGAAGATGACACAAGTGCTCACCCATGGATGTGACATCCCCAGGGACACCCCTAAAACCACATCACCCAAACTCCAGCCCTAGAGAAATCCTGTCCATGCTCCAACCACCCCTGGTCCCCTCTGGAAGATGACACAAGTGCTCACCCATGGATGTGACATCCCCAGGGACACCCCTAAAACCACATCACCCAAAATCCAGCCCTCCAGCCCTAGGGAAATCCTGTCCATGCTCCAACCACCCCTGGTTCCTGCTGGAAGGTGACACGAGTGCTCACCCATGGATGTGACAACCCCAGGGACACCCCTAAAACCACATCACCCAAACTCCAGCCCTAGAGAAATCCTGTCAGTGCTCCAACCACCCCTGGTCCCCTCTGCAAGGTGACACATGGATTGGGAGCTCACCCATGGATGTCACCCTGCCCTGGTGACACCTCCAGGGCGTTCCCTGCCGGCCGTGCTGCAGCCACAGGCACGAGCACAGCTTTTCACTCCATGTAGTTCTATAGATCTGTACAAAATGTATTTTATATCGTTTATATATAGTTTGTTGTTTTATAAATATGTATAGGATATAGTTTTATGAAGTTTTTATATAGTTTATATAGTTTTATATATGAAAATATAAGCATAAATATAAGTATAAATATAAGTATAAATATAAATATTAATATAAATATAAGTATATGTATAGTATATAGTTTTATGTAGTTTTTATATAGTTTATATAGTTTTATATTTCAAAAGAAAAGTATAAATATAAATATATGTATAAATATATGTATAAATATAAATATAAATATAAATAAAAATATAAATATAAATATAAATATAAATATAAATATGTACAAATATATGTACAAACATATGTACAAA